CCAAATTGTCTAAAGAAGATGCTCAGATGACCAGTGAATATGAAGATGCTCAATTTCATTGATCTTAGGAAAAAAGAAATCAATACTACAATGACATATCTCATACCCATTAGATTGGCTAATATAAAAAAATGGAGAATAATTGCTTTCATAAGGACATGGAGAAATTGGAATCCTCATGCATTGTTGGTAAAAATGTAAAATAGTACAGCTGCTGTGGAAGACAATGTGATTTTTTTTTAAAAGATAGAATTATCAAATTATCCAGTAATTCTACTTCTGTGCCTATACTTAAAAGAATCAAAACTAGAGTCTTAAAGAGATATCCCTATAACCTGTTTCTAAGCGTCTTTATTCAAAGGGGCTAAAACATGAAAGCAACCCAGGCATCCATGAATAGATGGTACATTATTTTTCAGCCCTTAAAAGGAAAGAAATTCTGACATTTGCTACAACATGAATGAAACTTGAAGTCATTAGACTGAGCAAAATAAGCCAGTCAGAGACACCAAGTTGTATGATTATGAATCCATTCGTATGAGGTACTTGGAGTAGTCAGTATCATAGAGATAGAGAGTAGAATACTGATCTCTAGGCACTGTGGCAGGGGAAGATAAAGACTTGTTTTATGGGTAGAGGATCTTAGTTTTACATGATGAAAATTATTCTGGAGATGGTTGTTGGTGGTGACTATGCAACAATGTGAATTACTCAATACCTCTGAACTAAATGTTTCAAAGTAATTAGGACAGTAAGTCTTATGTGATGTGGTGTATTTTGCCACAATCAAAAAAAAATTGAAAAAAAAAAAGGTAAAAGGCATAATACTGAACACTGCAGATGGCAATTTATAATTCAATTATTTTCTTTTATAATAGTCAGAATTTATGAAAGTCAGAGAATGGTAAAATTTCTATACAATTTGATATTGAAAAAATTCAATAAATTTTGGGTCTAAATACTCCCAATACCCAAACTTATTGCCTCAACTTCTATATATATATATCCCCCCTACCCCTGATCGAACCCAAGGCCTTGTGCATGTGAGGCAAGCGCTCTAACTGAGCTATATTCCCAGCCCCTAATCTTATATTTTGAGTTTTTCTTTTGTGTGCTTGTGCATGTGTGTACTTTTCTCCAAGTCATTGCTTATGATTCCATTCTTTTTGCTTTCATCTCTCTTCTTGATGGAATGAATTATTTAGTATTTCTTTCAGAAACATCTTATGGACAGTAAAGTTGTTTTACTACATGTACCAAAAATACCTTATTTTTATGATTCTACTTAACTGAGAGTTTAATTGAGTAGAGAATCCTTTAATTGTTGTGCTTTTTCTCTTAATTTTGAGTTTTTCTCTATTGACTTCTCTAATTATAAAGTTGTCAGTGTGACCTTTTTGTTAATAGTAATTTGCAAGAAGTTATTTTTATTCTTCAAATTCTGTAATTGCGCTATGATTATTCTTACTTATTAATGTATTTTTTAATTGCTCTTGGCTTTCAGTGAGACTAAGTCAATATAGAGATCCATGTCTTTGCCTGGCAGGTTGGCGCACCCTGGTGATCCCAGTAGACTTGGCAGACTGAGTTCAAAACCAACCCTAGCAAATTAGCAAGCCCTGAGCAACTTAGAGAGACTCTGTCTCTAAATAAAAAAATATATAAAAAGGGCTGGGGATGTGGTTCAGTAGTTAAGCACCCCTGAGTTCAATCCCCAGTATCAAAAAAAAAAAATTCATGTCTTTAATTCTGGAAAAATTCTGCAAATATCACTATCCTTCTATCCATTCTATCCAATACCTTCTATCCATTATCTCTCTTTAACAACAACCTATTCTTGTTCCATAATGTCTTTTTGTTGTTTTTGTTTCATGGTCTAGTTTTTTAATCTTCCTGAGAATTTTATTTTTTTAATTTAGGTTTACTGAGGTACAATTTTTAAGAATATAGTTAAAATAGTTTCAAGAAGTATATGATTTGGAATGTAACCAAAATATGAAATATTTCCACCATTTGAAAAAATTTTCTTATGCCTCCTTTAAGTCAATAACTATCCCTAATGGTCAATATCAATACCCAGCCTTTCATAAGCAATAGTAGTACTTCTATTGTGATAGAGTTTCCTTTTTTCAAATATCATACAAATGGAACGGTATATATACTTTGTACATGGCTCCATTCATTTGTTACAATGCTGGTAAGAATCACTCATGTCACTTTGTATGCATACTCTTTTTTTTTTTTTGAATGTTGATCGGGATACTAACGTATGACTACACCATAATTTATCTATTTATCACATGGCATTTGGATTCTGATTTTGGCACTTTGGGTTAAAGTTGTTTTAAACATTCACACATATTTTTGATCTTAAGTAAATGCAAAAAGTGAGATTTCCAGGTTATTTGGTAAGTTTACATTGAACATAAAAGGAATTTCCAGATTGTTTTCTGGGATAACTATACTATTGCACTCATGCCAGCTGTATGTGAGAGTTCTGGCTTTTCCACATCCTTGTCAGTACTTAGTGCTGGCTGTTTTTATTCTTGTTTTAAGCTATCATTCTGCAGTATATTGTGGCACTTCAGTGGGATTTTTATTTTCATTTTTATAATGCCTGGTGACTTCCTGTGCATCTTGCAATCTCTATCTCTTCTTTGAACATTTATGTTTGTGTGCATTTATGTATTTTGGAATTAAGATCATTATCCAATATGTGATTTGCAAATATTTTATCTGGGCTATGGATTATGATTTATTTTTTACTGGTGCATAATAATTTAAATATAAAAGTGGGATTCTTTGTGACACATTCATGCGTGCACAAAACATCATTTGCTTAATTTGCCCAGTACCTCTCCCTTCTTTCCCCTCCTCCTTCCCCCTAATCTCTTTACTTTGCTCTACTGGTTTCCCTTCTTGCTTTCTGTTTCCAATAACATCTTTTGAAGAGCAGCAATTTTAACATTCATTGATGGTGACTAGTTTATATTGTTTTCTATTTTGTTTCACAATTTCATATCCTATATATGAAATATTTATAACCTATAGAGACATAAAATTTTCCTTCTATTATTTTCCAGGAGATTGGTGATTTTGATTTTTATGCTTTTATATTTCAACTTGAGTTTTGTATGCGGTACAAGACACAGATGATGAGTCATTTGCCCAGGATGCCCAACCCTTCACCACATGTTAGGAGGACGTCCTTTCTCCATTGACTTTCCTTAGAGGATTTGTGAAAGACCAACCTCATACCTTAGTACTGATTGGTTTGTAGACACTCTCTTCCGTTTTACTTACCTATATGTCTGTGTCAGGTTTAAAAAGGGTCTGGGGTTGAAGCTAGTAGAAAAGCGCTTGCCTAGCATGCATGAAGCCCTGGGTTGGATCTCCAGTGCTGGCAGGTGGGGAAGGAGAATTGTTATGAAATATATCAGGCAGCTTGTTGATAAAAATCATATCACTTCTCTAGACTTTGTAATATTTATAGTTCAAATTTATTATGACTTTTTGTTCTACAAATAAATGTTGACTTTTATCACTAACTTTATATTTACAGTTTATTGTTTTTCTTATACAACTTCCCTCAGTAGTATAATCTCCAGCCCCCAAAACTGGATTTGTGTTGGAAAGTGTAGTTTCCCAAACATTTTTTTTCTGAGTGTCTGCCTATGAGACCACTTTAATCTTCAAGAAATGTCCAAAATAAATTCTTTAGCTCTTAATAGATTAATGTGATTAGCACTAGAGTTAATGATTTTGAGATAGGCACAGAAATCTGGGTTTCAGAGGTGTGGGGAAGAGCAAGACAAAATCAGATCATGCTCTGTTTGCCTAGATTTGTTTGAGAACTTCAAAGACTATGTGTGGCTAATTTGAACAAAATTGATCATTAATTTATTGTTATGATAATTTTTAAATCCTATTCTTTGAGCCTAGTTGAAATTAAAGTTTGTTTTCATTATTCTAAGTATAATGAATTTTAACAATTGCCTTTAACAGCAGTTTTTGATTATCAATCAATGCATACTGAAATGATGAAATATCTCAAATAATCAACGCTATTATGACTTAAGTATATTTTGCAAACATTTTAAGCTTGCTTTTGAAAGTATAATGGACTTGATTTCTTTCAAGGGTCTTGGAATGCTGAGCCTAAACAGCATCACCTATGCTAACTAGCCACTTTCCTAAATCTAAATAAATTATTCTGAAAAATACAAGGAATTCTAAGTTTCCTTAAACATTTTAATTTTGTTCACAAATTTGTCCTTTTGTCTTTCTTCAACTAAAAATCTGAAGCCCTAAAAACAAATTAAGGCCACATTTTACATTGGAATCACAAAGCTGATCTGTCAGATACAAAAATAAGTAGAATTATCTTGAGTGTAACACTTTAAACACCAAATGCATGGCTTATACCTAAATTTATCTCCAAATTATCACCAGATGCTTGATTTATTTTATTGCCCCTACATACATAATTCTAAGATTTTACAGGGTTAACGTTTGTTGAGGCAAACTGGGGTCACCATCCTTAGGGACTTGAGGTGCCTACCATCCAGAGCTTTTTAGGCAACATGAGACACCTGGAGTGGTATGATGGCTCTGAAGATGGCCCCTCAATGTACCATGCCTCGTAGAATCTACACCCTTGTGTTGCGCCTCAAACTCTGGGCTGATTCTGTAGCTTCTAATTGGTTTCAGTTGAAACCAATACAATATGGCAGAAAAGAAATGTGGCTTCCCCCTGGTGTCCGGGAAGGTCAGTCAGCTGCTCTGTGAGAAGGTTGACCACGTTGGGTCCACCGTGCCATGGAGAAGCCCAGGCTAGCCGTGCAGAGATGCTGTGTGAAGAGAGAGTCCTGGCTAGCCCCAGCTGTCCCAACCCCCGGCCATTCCCACTTTCAACCATCCGGATTGAACTCCTTCTGAATTTTGCTCTACAAAATTGTGAGATTAAAAAAAAAAATAACAATTTGTTTTATTTTACCAAGTTCTAGGGGAGTTCATCATACAACAATATTCAATAGGCAAGTTGTTCATCTCTCAGGCTCCCGTAACTTGCTGAGCTATAAGTTTCTCTACAGAATATTCCAGGTACGTCTCTTTCCACTAGGATTCTATTATCCTGGTTTATACTATTCCCTGAATCTTCCCTCTGATTTGAGTCCACTGGTTCCCAGTCCAAAGGTTAGAGTTGCTTCCTCCACAGCTTGATGGGAGCTGGCTGTTTGTTTACTTTCTTTCTTTTAGTCTGGGCTGAAACTCACAAAGATATCAAGGACACCTGACTGGAAGCTGCATCTCCTTCTTGCCAGGCTCGAAGCCCCAGCACTGGAGTCAGGCTGATGAAGAGGACACTAGGCTGGGAATGGAGCCTGAAATGGAGAGCACTTCCTCAGTCCCTGGCCCATCCTTCTGTGACACCAGACAGCCGGAGGGCTCACAGTGCTGAGAGGTTTTAGCCTATTAATCTTGAGACTTGAAAATAGAATTATTGGCCTCAAAATAGGCTAAGGAATCTACAATCAGAATTAAAAATACCATAATTAAATGCCCACAAATATGTCAACTTCATTAAATGCTGAATTTAATACTTACTAAAAACTTCATTACTTTCAAACAACCATTTCAGGTTAGATTTGTATTTTTTTCATTTTATAAGAATTCATGCGCAGGCTGGGATTGTGGCTCAGAGGTAGAGCGTTCATCTAGCACTTGTGAGGCCCTGGGTTGTCCTTAGCATCACATAAAAATAAATAAATTAAATAAAGGTATTGTGCCCAACTACTTCTAAAAAAATGAATGTTTAAAAAAAAGAATTCATGAGCTACGTAAACAAGTACCAGACTATCAGAGTCTCTTGCAAATTATTCAGAAAAAAAAAATCAGTAGTACAAATATAACAACAATTTCACTTTTATATAAAAATGGTGCCTAATGTGTATTAAGAATCCATTACGATATTTTTATGATGTGGTCGGGGTAGGATGTCCACAAGTGTGAGTACTAAGGCTCTCCCAGGTCCTGTGTGGTTCTGTGGAACCGACCAGGGCGCAGCTCCACTTTGTACATAGGGTCACTGCTCCTCAGGTCCACCTGATTGAGCTCTAATGATCCTTGATTGAGCTCTAATCCTTGGTTGAGATTCAGCCCTGCCTCCCAGCAGTTAGTCTGTTTTTCCCAATTTTAGAATATAAGTCACAGGCAAATGGAATGATTCTCCCGAGGTGCACAGCTACTAGGTAGGAGGGGCCAGATGGGAGCTCAGGTCTCCGGAATCCAACACTCCCCCACCCACCTTCACAGCTCGGGGTAGCACTCAGCTTCACTCCCGTGTTGAAAATCATCGTTGGCAGGAGACGCACAGAAAGAAACCTGTTCTTTCTCCCTTCAAGTCCAATCCAGTTCCCAGAAAGGGATCTGCTCTTGGTCACTTACACATCCACGTCAGTGAGTGACCTCCCTCGGGGACGTTTGCATTTCAGCTGCCTTATTTTGGCTGCCAGAAGATGGCTGAATTTTGGCTTCCTGTCACTTATCATGCAGGACCTCATGCCATGTCTTTCTGTTTACTCAAACTCCCCTATTTTCGTGGTAAAATTTGACGGAAATTTTCCTTCCCATTAATCTCTTTTTTTGCAAAAAAACTTTTATTTTCAGGTGCCTCAAAACTTTTGGCAATAGGTCAAGTGTGTTTTATTACGTTGAGAAATAACTACATCCTCAGCCACTGAGAAATGTTTACTCTCCCTAAGGTGATTCCACCCCTTAACTCACATCCTCTATTTAGCCATTTAGTCCTGGCCAGCGCCCCAAACAGAAGGGAGCCTTCTTGTTCAAACCACCCCAAAGAAGCTGCAGAAGCTCCTCACTCACAGGAAATTTTTTTTTTCTGGAGCTCTAAACAAAGGATACAACTTGCAGGTGGTCTGTGCACAAGGAAGCTCAGAGAAAATCACATCTAGAAGCAGGGACCCAAGACACAAGCTCTTCAGAGAACTGAAAGGTAAATAAAAGCCTTCACCTTTTCAGTATTTTGACGGGGAAACCTAATCACAAATATTCACAAGTCGGTCTACTTTGCCTTCCTGCTACGTCTTTGCCAACTCTCCTTCACTCCTTTCCCTCCTGAGAGCGATCCCTTAGTTTATGCCATTCATCCAGGGTGGCCCAGGAGCCAGCTCTCAAACATCTCTGCAGGATGGCCTCTCTGTGGTCCAGTCTCCCCAGATGACCCCCGTGACTCCCCGCTGTCAGCTGGCCTTCCTCCCTGCGGCTATTGTTGCTGATCCTCAGAGTCCAGTCCCACCTGGCCAGGAGAGCAGCTTTGCCAACTCCCGTCCTCCCACAGTGGCCATAAACCTCCCCATCCTTCAGTGCCCAGCCAGACCTCAGGTGGAAATCAGCCCGGTGGGTGAAACCACCCATAGTTGTGTGTTTGGTGAAGAAGTCACACAGATAAAATAAAGAAGAGTCTGGAAGTGCCTGCCTCCGAGAACGTGGTCCAGTGACCTAGTTGGGAGCTCCCACCAAGACCGTGGAGCGCTTTAACAATTCTGTTTTCTGTGACTCCAGTCCCATCTGCCCTGATTCCTCCTGCTGCAGGCCCAGCAGGAATGACTCACAGCTGGTCCCCATTATTCTCCAGCAGCTCTCTGCCCGTGATCCAGAACAACTGCTCCACACTTCCCTCCCCAGGAGCAACGCCACTGCCCTAAATATTTCCCTGTTGTTTATCATCCCTACTCATTTCCAGGGCTAGCACCTCATTTGGGAACCTCCAGTCAATGTCTTTCTTCAGGAACAAATATTCAAATCAGATAAAATTTAAATTATGATTTTCATTTATTTTAAGCAAATAATTCAGGTGTGGATGCCAAATTTGAAAGGTACATAAGGAGACCCAGTGAAAAATAGTCTCCTTCGTACCTTTGTCTCTCGGTAATCCTGTTCCCTGACCCAGAAATAATTACTGCTACCAGCAGCTGAGAGATCTGGCAGAAATGAGAGTTCAACAAGGACAACTTTTTTAGATTCCACAAATGAATGAGGTTAGACGACATTTTTCTTTCTTATTTCATTTCATATAATGTCCTTCAATTTCATATGTATTATCACAAGTGATGATTTCCTCCTTTTATGGGTGAATAGTTTGATTGTATGTGTATATGTGATATTTGTGTATACAGGATATATACACATCCCATTTGTTATCCATTCCTCTGTTGATGGGCACTAAGGTGGATTCCATTTCTAGGCTATCATAAATAGTGGTACCACGTGAGAGTGCAGTTATCTCTCAGACAAAGTGATTTCATTTTTTTTGGACATATACCAAGTAGTGGGATTGCTGGATCATATGGTCATATTGTTAAATTTTTGAGCAACTGCCGTATAGGTTTTCATAATGACTGTCCTAGTTGACATTTCCATTGAGAGTGTTCAAGGGGTCCCTTTTCTCCACACCCTCACCAATACTTTTGTCTTTTTAATAGCCATTCTAACTGGGATGAGGCGATATGCCTGTTGGGTCACAGAAATAATTAAGAGGGGCTGGTGTGTTTGGTGGGAGTAGGGAGATGTTAATCAAAGGTTAAAAAATTTCAGGAAAGTGGAAGGAATAAGTTCAACAAATCTGTTGTTCAACATGGTGACTATAGTTAATATATTGCATTCTCTTTTTTTTCTAATTTTTAGTTGTAGATGGACACAATACCTTTATTTTATTTATTTATTTTTATGTGGTGCTGAGGATCAAACCCAGTGCCTCACATGTGCTAGGCAAGCGCTCTACCACTGAGCTACCACCCCAGCCCCATATATTGTGTTTTTACAGATGCTAAGAGAGTAGATATAAAGTATTCTCCCACAAAAATGGTAACTATATAAGATAATACATGTTAATTAGGGATTTAGTCATTCCATATGATGTATATATACTTCAAAACATCATATTATGTATAGTAAATATATATAATTTTATGTCAGTGTTTTACACACAAAAAATTTTGTAAGCAAAATCACCCAAAAATACATAGATCTATGTATTTTCCACACACAAATGGTAATAAACACATACTATTCTATAACTATGTCATTTAATATATTTTAGAACTTCCATATTAATACTTATAAAGCTATTATTTTTAAATGACAGCATATAGCAACAGTGATTTACTTAACCCTTTACTATAAAATGTTTCCAATATTTTATTATTACAAATAATGCTGTAACTAATGTGTATGCACTTTTATAAATTTTCATATATAAGGATTTGTAAGATAAATATCTGGAAGTATTGCTCAGCAAAAATTAAATTTTAGTTTTACAAAATGTACTATATTGGGCTGGGGCTGTAGCTCAGTGGCAGAGCGCTTGCCTAGCATGTGTGAGGCACTGGGTTCGATCCTCAGCACCACATAAAAATAAACAAATAAAATAAAGGCATTCTGTCCATCTATAAATAAATAAATAAAATATACTATATTGGTCAATATCCCTCCAGGGAAGTTTTACAATATATTCTCCTGCCTGCAATGTAAGAGAAAGTTTCTCCACACTGTAATCAATACCACTTCTATTAAAATTTCTTTTTTTGAAAATATCACCTCTTTATAGTTTTAGCTTATATTTCTTTTACTACGATTGACTATGAGTTGAACATCTTTTCCATAAATTTTAAAGTTATTCATATTTCTGTACTTGATAATATCATCATATATTTTTCTACTTTTCTAATAATTTGCTAGACTTTCCTATGTATTTGAGGGTGCTCTTTATTTACAAAGAAAATTAACTCTTTGATTTTCTCTCTCTCTCTCTCTCTCTCTTTCTCTCTCCTCTTTTGCCACACAGGAATGTTTTAAACAAATGTAGCTGTCTATCTTCATCTTTTTTATGGCTTCTGGATTCTGTTTTATACTCTGGAATGTCTTACCAACTCCAAGAATATTATTTTTACTTTACTTTCATATTTTCTCTTACCGTGTTTATGGTTTCACTTTTTTATTTTTAAATATTTAAACCATGTGTAATTAATTTTGGTCTAAGATATGAAATAATGATCATTTATTTTTCCAGATGGCTACTCACTTGTTCATTTATTAAGTGATCTAATTCTTTTCCAAGGATTTGAGTGTTAATATATCTTATATATACATATGCATATTAAATATATATACACAGATATGCAGTAATTATATGTGTAGTGTATCTATTTTTGTTCCATTAATCTATCTTTCATGCACTAGACAACCCTCTTAATCATGATTGTCTTATGTTGCATCTTGATATTTGACACAGTTCACCTCGTACACTCCTCTTATTTTTTCAAATATTTTTTTAGTTGTCGATGGACACAATACCTTTATTTTATTTTTCATTTTTATGTGATGCTGAGGATCGAACCCAGGGCCTCACACATGTGAGGCAAGCGTTCTACTCTGAGCCACACCCCCAGTCCTCCTATTTTTTCAGAAACTTTCTCCTTCTTATTTTCTATGTGATTTTAAAAACATGCAAATTTTTTTCTTCTTAAAATTTTTTTATTGATTTCATGTAAAATACATGGATTAACACAGGGATAAAAATTA